TGCGCACAGACAGCTCAGAGCTGTGGCAGTTGGTGCTGAGATGCTGAGTGTGGTTCCCACTGAAGGAGCATGGGGGCCTCTCTCGCTGCTCAGGGTGCAGCTGCCTCCATAGTTCAAAACAAACACTGAATGCTTTTTCCCATTTTCACCTTTTACGTAAAAGTAAACATCCTCTTCAGATTTCTTTCACTTAGCAACGGATAGAAACTAATGTAGGTCTGTTGAAAGCCAAGTGGCATAGGGCGAATTTTCAAAAAGCGGGGGACACCTGTCTAGGCATTTCACATGGAACTCTGTAGGGTAACTGCCTGGGCTCCTTTGACCTAGCTTGAACATTGCTGTAAGCCTCGTCCAAGACTAAAGCTGTATAATTTTAATGTTTTCCAGAAGGTCAAGACCCAGTATAAATGTTTTGAACTTGACAACCCAAAACAAAAAGCACCATCTCAAGTCATGAAATAAAACAATAGTGTAGCTAAGGCAGTGGTCAGCAAACTCATTAGTCAACAGAGCCAAATATCAACAGTACAACCATTGAAATTTCTTTTGAGAGCCAAATCTTTTAAACTTAAACTTCTTCCAATGCCACTTCTTCAAAATAGATTCGCTCAGGCTGTGGTATTTTGTGGAAGAGCCACACTCAAGGGGCCAAAGAGCCACATGTGGCTTGCGAGCTGCAGTTTGCCAACCACGGAGCTAAGGCATAGAAGTTAATACCTAGAAGAAGAGCATAGTGAGTGGGGAAGAGCAAGCTGAGTCAGGTGCGAATCCTAGCCATAGTGCCATTAGCAGTGTGGCCTCAGACAAGGTGCTCAGTGTCCGTGGGTCTCAGGTTTTGCATCTCAAAAATGGGAATAATAATGTTTATTTTTTTGAAAAGATTGAGAAGTTTATACACATATATAGTGCACTTGGCACACTTTCTAGCACAATTAGAACATAGAACTAGAACATAGCAAATGTTCAGAGGATAATAATTATCATCTGTGATATGGGATTATTTCTAATAAGTAAGGAAAGTTACTCAAATGTTCTTGATATGAATTATCACTGTAAATTTTTTATTCTATCTATTCACCCATTCATCCATCCTCTTCTGGGTAGTTCTGCGTAGTTCTGGGTAGACAGCAATGGAGCTCCAGTGAATGGCTCAGAGTACCTCCTATCAGAGATTAAATGGTGTGTGTAGAATAACATGCATTCTTTTAGATTAGGTCCAGAATTAAACTAACAGCTAGAAACTAGATCCATTCCTATCACTGCTTTTCCAAGGTTAGCCACTCCTCTTCATGAAAAACACCAGTGAATTTGTTTGACATGACTGACTATGAAAACGACCAAGTCTCTGTTTAATGGGTGAGGATTTCTGTGCTCCTCAGGGTCCATTAGCTAGGATAAGAAAACCAGGAAGGTTGCATTTCTCTGTGCCCGGCACTGTGCTGGTTATGCTTAGAACTTCATCTTCCCACCAACACTTGAGATTGACATGAACGTTCTCACTTTACAGGTGAGAGAACAGAGACCGCAGGAGCCATGTCACTTGCTCACGGTTGAGCTGGGAGAGTAAAGTAGAATCAGCAAAGATGGTTGCACCAGCTCGGTTTTACCAGTTTTTTGTTGTTTATTTTTTTAAAATATATTTTATTGATTTTATACAGAGAGGAAGGGAGAGAGATAGAGAGTCAGAAACATCGATGAGAGAGAGTCATCGATCAGCTGCCTCCTGCACACCCCCTACTGGGGATATGCCCGCAACCAAGGTACATGCCCCCGACCGGAACCGAACCCGGGTCCCTTCAGTCCCCAAGCCGACACTCTATCCATTGAGCCAAACCGGTTTCGGCAGTTTTTTGTTGTTTAGTGTCCGTTACTTGTCAAAATAATTTTGAACATCTGTATTACTATGAAAAGCGTTTTTTAGCTGGACTCAGGAGCTCGGGGTAGCACCATCAGCATCAGATCCAGTTTCCTACTGGGAGAAAGGCCATGGGGATTTGATGGAATGAATTTATATCCAATGGAAGTCTTTGGCAAAGTAATGGAAAATAAGAATAAAAGGAAATAAGAAAATGTAGTGTTTTAGATTTACAAAATACATTTGAAAAGAGTTTCTGAAATTGGGAGATTCTTTGATCTTGATGCTTTAAAGAGAGAGAGAGAGAGAGAGAGAGAGAGAGAGAGAGAGAGAGAGAGAGAATGAATCAATGCAAGAATATTTTAAAGGCATTTCCCTGGATTGTATAAACAGCATTGCCTACAAGTAAGCAGCATTGGGGCCACACTTAGCATATTTATAAATCATCTGGACGAAGGAGTTTATGGTCAAATTCCAGATTTGCAGAAACTGCTAAGCTCCTCTAGGTAGCGAAATGCCAGGCTGACTAATACGAATGCAGGTAGAGTACACATGGCTTTGTGAGTGGGCAGCGCATGGCAGATGGGTTTCTACGTGGACAACTGTAAGATAAGTAATTTAGGGAGAAATCATTCAAACCATCTTTCTGTGATCAAAGAGCTTTGAACTATCAGCTATGACAAAATTAAGAGGTTTTACAGCCAGGGTATGCTTTTGTCCCTACTTATCCCTACCTCAGATGCGATTTCAAGGGGGATTAAAGCAGAAAATTGTATCCTGCTCACATGGAAAGCCATGGTTCCCTTATACCTGGAATATTGTGGGCAATTTTTATTCGTTTGTATTGGGAGCAGTTTTTTCAGTGCCCCTTCAGCAGTTGTGCGGGAGGAGGAGATGGTGCAGAGAACATGGACTAACGTGATCTCTGAGAGGAGGACCTGCTTTATGCAAACAAACAGCAAAGAACAGGACTCATCAGCTTGGGAGGTTTATAAAAATCAATGGTGTGTGTGTGTACATGGACATTTTAATTTAAGTGCTACTTTAAAATCTAAATAAATGTAGGCAGAAAAGCCAATAAGCGAAGTGACAACAAGGCAAATATAAATTCAAGGTTAGCATAGGATGAAATGCCCAAAAACATGCTCACTCCTCCTCCCTGAAAACCTGAAAAGAGAGAACAGATTTTTAAGAAACTAGTTACTTTGGGAACTAGTTACCAAAAATGAGTTGTTATATCCTGGAACATCACATGGGCAGGGACAGGGGAAATACATTTTTGTGAATGCATCTACATGTTGTATTCATGTTGGGAGATATGCCCAAGCTTTGCAATTTACAAGCTTTGGAATCAGCCAATGTGATTCAAATCCCAGAGCCACCTCCCACTAGCCCTTGGATGGGCAACTCTTGTGGAGTGAACGCGAGTAAAGACCACTGGAGTCCGAACCAAATTAAAATTTAGGGAGCCTTTATTGCTGGCTGGCGGCTGTACTGCCTTCCAGACAGGGAGGTCAGAGGGCAGCCCCGACCCTTTGTGCAAGATCACCTTTTAAGCACATGAACCACATCCTGTTTTTGCAGAGTAAGCAACCCAAGACAAAACAGTTTTTCCCAAATAATGTCAGGCCCATGCTATTGACAGCCATGTTGTTTACAGGGTTCTCCTGTTCTTTGGAAAGCTGAACCATTCTATCTTGCAAGGCTATTTTGTGAGGTGCAAGGGGAAGGGGCCATGAAACCGTATCTCAAGGCCTGGCCTGGTGTCAGCCATGACAACCCTATATGGGGCATAGTCCACGGCCTCTCCGGAGTGCTCAGAAATTCCTACTCTCTAACACTCTGAACCACTGTGAGCCTCGGTCTCCTCACCTATAAAGCAAGAAGAAGCCCTTCCAGATAGGAGTGTTGGAACAATAGAAAGGGCAGCCTGTGCAAAGCTGCAGGAAGGGTAGGGACTGCGAGTTTTCAAGTCTGGGTTCCCTGTGTCATCTCTTCTCTAAGGTGTCCTTTGCAGCTCTGTCGGACTTAAAATCCTATCGGGGGGAGACCGTGAGTCCCCCAAGTCACAGTGCTTGATTGTAACCCTACGTTACAACTTTTATCTAAATTAACATACATTCTCTCCTGTTCTGGGAGCCCCTATTATTTCAGGCATTGCTTTAGGAATTTGGAAAAAAAGGCATAAAGACAAACCAGGAACCTGCTCTCAGGAAGCTTACCTGGGGGAGAGGGGCACAGAAACGCTAACCCTGGAAATGAAGTTATTTCAGAGAATGAGCAAAAGGGGACACAGCCCAGCCGATGTGACTCAGTGGTTGAGTGTTGACCTATGAACCAGGAGGTCATGTTTGATTCCCAGTCAGGGCACGTGCCCAAGTTGCCGGACCAATTCCCAGTAGGGGGCAGCCAGCTGGTGATTCTCTGTCATCACTGATGTTTTTATCTCTCTTTCCCTCTCCTCTCTTTGAAATCAATGAAAATATATTAAAAGAGGGGTGGGGAGACCCAGGATAGAATAGAGTGTGATGGGGCTGAGGTCACAGTGCTTTCGTGAGGAGGAGTGGGGGGCCTCTGTGAGGAGATCCACACTTGAGCAGTGTCCAGAGGGGTGAGAGGCGTCATGTGACCTCTCAGGGGCCTTCTAGACAGATGGACAAACAGGGTAGAGGCCCCAAGGCGAGGATGTGTATCAGACGTTCAAGGAACAGAGAAACCGGTGTGACTGAGCATCCTGAAGGGAAGGGAGAAAAGCAGGGACACAACACAGGCAGTGGGCAGCCAGCCCTGTTGGGCCTGGAAGCAGTCAGGACTGAGCTTTTATTTTAAAAGCAACAGCAAGCAATCAGAGTCCAGCTGGTTGAGGAGACGACTTGGCTTGCCTTTTGAGAGGTCTTGTGGCTGCTGAGTAGAGGCTGGGCCTGGGACAGCCTGAGCGGAGGGGGACCATCTCCGCCTTCTCCTCCTCCCCCCACCACTTTCTCCATGGCCCTTCTACCTTCCTGGACTGGAAGGCTCACAATGGTTTCACATCTGTCCCGGGGCAGAGGTAGCTTTGTACAAATCTCGTTCCGTTCCTTCATCTCTTAGAACGTGCAGAAGTCATTTTTCTCCAATGAAATCACCCAAATGTGTGTCGTTTCAGGTTTTAAAAATCAGTTTGATCGGCCACAGGAAACGTATTTTGGCGTCACTGGGAGACAGGCTGCACGAGGACCCGCCCCAGAAGCCCCCTCGCTCCATCACCCTCAGGGTAAGTGCTCAGGATATGCCTGTTCTCTCCACTCCTGGCCCCCAAACTTAACATGGGGCACGAACATGAAATGACGGAAGCAGTGAGTCAGGAAGTACGGGCTGTGCTGCACACAGCGACCCTTTCCCACCCGAAAAACAATCTCGCTTCTGATTGTGTTTCAAAAGACAAGATTTTTTCCCCCCTCAATTGGTTAAATATGTATTTTTGAGATTTAGATGCTCATTGGCCAACCCCCCACATTTAAAGAACCCATCCCCCCACGACTGCCATCCCACACTCCCATTTACACCAAGAGGGAGGAAGTGAGATTTCTGTCAGACTCCTCAAACCCACTGAAAGAAAGAAAATGGATCAGAGGCCACAGCTAAGTGAAGGTCAATTTGAAATTAAGACCTTAGGGTCTTAGGTCTTTTATGAAGTAAATATTGCCCAGCCTTGCCCACTTCAAACATTAAGGTGAGAGAAGCTAGAACTAAATATTTAATAAACTATTTCAGCAGTAGTTTAGAATTATGGGGCAGCGCAACTAGAGAGAAACCCTACAGGAGGCAGGGAGGACTATAGCAGGAAGGGAAGGAGGACAAGGAGGAAAAGGCCTAGAGGAAGAGAAAATGAGGGAGAGGACTGCCACGCGAAATGGAGGGGGAGGGGCAGCCCATATTCACCGGGTATCTGAGGCCTCCAGGAACTTTTCTAAAATTCATCCAAAAACTGGGCTGTCCATGAGCAGTTGGGGAGTTCCAAGTCTGTGCTCTGTATCTGCTCCTGCACTTGCGTGCCTCTGACTGCCTTTCTGCAAGCGTCAGAAAAGGGAGCGATTGTAACCGATGCACACAGTGCACTTCAGCAGAACGGCCAGCGATGCAATGCAGCAGAATGCCTCTTATCAATGAATTTCAGCCAGCAGCATAACCACCAGCGGCCAGTCAGAGGGTCGGGCAGGACAGGAGCTGTTAAGATTTAAAATGGAGAGGAGGAGGGTCGGTTAATTGGGGAAAAAAGGAGGCATGTAATACTTTAAACAATAAAAGCTATTGGATTTTGTTTAAAAAAAAAAAAAGAATGAAAGAACGAAAGATTTGAGTCTGATTCCGTTTTAAAGAAGAAAATGCACAAAGATTTCGGGAAATGAAAGAGAATTGGCTCCAGGAGGGAGCCCTTAGGAAAAGTGATTATTGGGGCAATTGGGAGACTAGTTGGGACATTCGAAGGCTAGTTGAGGGTTTTGGGAGCAGTGAAAGTAGAATTAGGACCTATTTTTCTCCCTCAATAAGAGGCGCTTCAAATAAATGGGGAGGAAAATGAGGCTAGAGAGAGATGATTGTCTTACCCTCATTTTGCTGCACAAAGAGGGAGAAAGATGTAGGCACCGTCAGGATAGCCCTCCTGGAATGACTGCTTAGAGGAGGCATTCCCTGCTGCTTACTCGACTCTCTTTCCCCTCCCTTCTGCACCGTCCCTCTGACTCCCTGAAGGCGATTCAGGAGAACAGTAGAGATCCCCAAGAAAAAATGCAGAACCTTCATTTATCAAAGGCGGTCCAGAACCTTCGGGGAGCCAGGGAATCAGCACCCTCCAATCCTCCTCTTCCTTGCAAACACTAGAGCCCAGCTGAACACCCGCTCTTATCTTACTTCCAACCATTTTTCCCCAGCTTAAGTCACCTCTGCCTTTGAAAGTCATTCTGTGCACTGCCCTGCTGTCTGCACGTGTGACAGGCTCTGTTTCCGTACTGTGTCCTCTTTCTCAACTGGCTGCCAGACCACTGATTGATGGAGGATCAAGCCCCGGTGGTTCCCATTTAGCTTCCTCGTCATGGCATCTACCATGATGAGGACACAGTCCACTGGAGGATGGTTGTGTCAAGGTTGCCTGACCTCTGCATCCTCTCTCCTGAGATCACCCACTGTGCTGGTTGGAGAAAAGAGCCTGACTCTTTGTACTCTAACCCTTTGGCCTGAAATCCTTAGAAGGGGGAGAAGTATTGACTAGATCATGCCATTCACAAGATGGTGGGATGCCACCCACATCTTGGCTGTTGATTCAAAAAGAAACCCCCCACCCCCACAGTGTGTCTTGTCGGTATTTCACAATTTTGCAACCAAAGGTTAGCCGCCAAAACGTGGTATTTACTTCATGATGTATTTCCATTCAGGAACCCAGTGGTAATCACACTCCTCCTCAGTTGTCTCCATCACTTAGCCAAAGCACTTACACCACTGGTGGCTCCCTAGACGTTCCTCACATTATCATGCAGGGCGATGCAAGGAGGAGAAGAAATGAAAACTACTTTGATGATATTCCCCGATCAAAACTGGAGAGGCAGATGGCCCAGGTAAGGTGTTACTTAAATGCCTTGGTAATGTTCTTTTGCCTTTCACCCGTATCACAAAATGTATTCTAACGCCGAGCGATAGCTAATGATGCCTGTTGTCCACACCAGTGGGAATTTGACCGTTGTATGCCATCGCTTTCATTCCCTGTTCACTTGACCTAGATTGAAACGGATCTTTCTGGGAATGGGAGGTATACACAGATGCTTGGTTTTGATCTTGACTGAAGAAATTATGTCCGCTCTCATTGGATCCAGAAAGTCTTTGCCCTAAAGGGAATAATTACTGGGCAAGAATGAAATCATAATGAAACAAATAATAAAGGTCTAGATGAGAACATGTAAATGGGCTGGATGACGGAGCAGAAATCAGGGGAAAGTGTTAATTCTGATAGTGTTGTTAATTTCCTCCCAAGTTTACACGTCTACGTAGAAGTGTTCTATTGGGACTCCTAGTTGCATCATCTCACGTTGTGAAGTTGAGTAGCTGAAAATGACGACGCTGCCCGACACTTAATTACTGAAAAGAGAAATCTGTTGTGTTCAGACCTTTCCCTGTTTTGGTGTAGACGTCCAGATCTGACTTGTCCTCAAATGGCCACTCTAAGACGAGAGTGAGCGGTAGCCAAACAGTGATGCTGTTTTTAAATGCACATTTGTGTGGACAGCTAGCCCTGCCGTGTAGCCCTGGGATTCAGACATATGGATTTGTTGACAACGATCGGCAGATTCGACCCTTTTCATCCTCATTCTAGGTTCAGACTGATGTGTTGAAAGGTTTCTCTCTGCCTCTAACACCTGAGATGAAAATTCCAAGGTGAAAATTTGACTGTAATTGCTTTGCCTTGGTTGTTAAATATTTTTCTCAACTGTTTGGTGAGATTCTGTTTTTTAAAAGCCTTTGGCAAATGTTCTATGCTGCTACTCACAAAAGAAAAATGTGAAGAGAATGTTCTGGAAACTATGGCTATTCTCCCTGCTAATGCCCCAGGAAAAAAAGGGGGGGCTGATATATTGTGTATCCTTTTAGCTCTCTCAATTTTGAATTGTTCTCTGAGTTCTTTGTGTAAGGAATGACAACGTTGGGATTGTGGAGAATCTTTATTGAAGGAAGATGGAAAATGTAGGAGAGATAAGAAAAGAATAATTTCCCTTTCTCTCTTATTACGTGTGGTCTTGTAATCCTTATTACTATTTTCACTGAAGTTCTTTCAAATAACGAGTCTGAGAGGTTTTTTTCCTGAAAGCTGTTCGTATATTTCCTGCTACTTGTTAGAATTTGTGAATCACATCAGTGGTTAAATCTCTCTAAAGACAGCATTTCAGAGACATGGTGGGTTTTTATCTTGAACCATGTAGTCTTTATGTATTAATGCAAACGGGGTGTTTTCCGAACCCTTCTCTCTGCTGGGTAAGGGAGGGTTGTGTGTTGATGGAACATTAGCTCTTATTGACTGTGTCAACTTCAGGAACAGAATCACCCATCTCGGCTGCTCATATAATTGATGAAATTTCTCCACATGGTACAGCTTTTCCAAAGAGGAAATTAATTACTCTTTCGCCTATGTATGAACTCTCGGGGTGCACTAGCAAAATTTCTCCCTTCCTTTCTTTATGAGAGTCACAAGCTGGGCCAGTAGTACCTTTTGAATAGCCTAGATCCGTGGTCAGCAAACTGTGGCTCGCCAGCCACATGTGGCTCTTTGGCCCCTTGAATGTGGCTCTTCCACAAAATGCCTGGGCAAATCTATTTTGAAGAAGTGGCGTTAGAAGAAATTTAAGTTTAAAGAATTTGGCTCTCCAAAGAAATTTCATCGTTGGGCTGTTGATATTTGACTCTGTTGACTAATGAGTTTGCCAACCACTGGCCTACCCAGTCTGTTCCTAAGTCCCTGAAGTCCATCTTCAGGGTTTCTCTCCTGTTGCTAATGGACAGGGAAATGCAGTTAAAGAGAATCATCAAGACAGATTCGTTTTCAGGAAACACTCTACTGCAAGCATGTCACACTCACCGCCCTGAGTTTGACCTGCTTGCAATGCCTATCTGAGCCTCCACTAGAGTGATCTGGATGATCTGGATGATCTGGATGATCTGGAATTCCAGCCGTAGGCGAGAAGCCTGTGCTCTCAGTGGCTGCAGTCATTCATGGGAGTTTTGCCTTCTTAAGGGCTGCTGATCAAATGTTTGGAAATGCTTTGCTTCACTTGGAAACACAATGCTGACACTTAAATTAAGACAAAGTTGATGTCCATTCCACTTATTAAGTTCCTTTGTTGGCAAATATTTTTTTTCAAGTAACAATGGAGTGGCGTTTAATTACTTGTTTTCCATTTAAGCCAATATGAAAAATAGCTGTTTGGGAATACAAGGGCTTTGCAAATGTGGCTGTTGTTTGCTTTTATTCTGATAAAAGCAGTATTCTGCCTCAAATTATCTTAGATGAATATGTGAGAAGCAAAATTGAGTTTAGCACTAATAGCATTTTTTAAACCACTGAGAGTAATGATATAAACACATCTAAATAGTGGGTTTCCTATTATGCTAAAACATAGCTTTTCGAGCCTGTAATTCTAAATTGGACACATTAGCTCAGAAGTTCTGAAATGTCCTCCTATTTCCATACACCTAATAAATAAATGTTGCACTCACAGTTATGTAATAATACCTAGAGCTTTTAAACTTCCCAAATAGTTTCACATCTGTTATCTCATTTTAGCACAAACAAGGTATATCCCGCACAACCATTGATGTGTGTGCAGCACGTGGCAGATCAGCTTTTAAGTCGAGTGCTGTGGGGATGAGATAGTAAATGAAAATATGGGGGAAAGATCAGAAGGAGGAAAAATATTAGGTCTAGTAATAATTAATGTCGTTTTCTAATACTTTTTTTAAAATCGAATTTATTTAAACAATACAACAAAATTTAATCAACAATATAGTTGCTGTTGTTTTCTACTACTTGTGCCCAACGCTCAGGAAGCATTTTAATCCCTCTATTGTAAAATTCTTGTGATTTTGATGCAAAAAATTCGGTCAATGCATTTTTGAGGCATTCTTCATTATTAAATTTTTTTCCAAGAAGAAAGTTTTGCAAAGAACGAAACAGATGGTAATCGGAAGGGGCAATATCAGGAGAATATGCAGGTTGAGGAAGAACTTCCCATTCCAACTGGCGCAGTTTTTCAGCAGTGATTCTTGCAGTATGGGGTCGTGCGTTATCGTGGTGAAGAATTACGCCCTTCCGATTAATCAGCGCGGGTTCTTTTTCTCTTAAAGCTTGGGCTAACCTTTCCAATTGGGCACTATACACTGCACTTGTAATGGTTTGGTTAGATGGTAAAAGTTCATAATGAAGAATTCCTTTAAAATTCCACCAAACACACAACATCACTTTTTTCGCATGCAAGTCAGGTTTTGGCGTGGGCTGCGGAGCCTCATTTTTGTCCAACCATTGAGGCCGCCTTTTCAAATTAACATACAGCACCCATTCTTCATCTCCAATAACAATTTGCTCTAAAAACAGCAAACGGTTTTGACGAGAGAGGAGCAAACTGCAAATTGTGACTCTTTGATTACGGTTGTTGTCGGTCAACTCATAAGGAACCCATTTTCCAAACTTTTGGACTTTGCCAAGTGCACACAATTGATTGGAAATTGTTTCTTGTGAACAATTTAAAGTTGTCACAAGCTCTTGTTGGGTAATTTGAGGATTTTGCACCAAAAGAGCTTGAAGAGCTTCTTGATCAAAATTGGACACACGGCCTCGACCACTCTTGTCATCTAACGAAAAATTCCCCTCGCGAAATTTCTCAAACCAACGCTGGCATTTTCTGGCGCTAACTGCATCTTGACCAAGAGCACTACAGACGTTTTTTGCAGCCTCACTTGCTTTTCTTCCTAATTGGAACTCGTAAAGCATGCAGTGCCGAATATGCTCTTCATCCGCCATCTTCTTAGCCCTAGTTTTGCCACAAAAACCAAACCAAACACAAACTTTTTCAAGCAAAACTTGTTAACTGCACTTCACACGTTCTGTAGATACCACGTGTTTAAAGGTTATGTCAATACAAGTCAACGCCAAGCAAGATTTTAAACGAATGTTTAAAAACGACATTAATTATTACTAGACCCGATACTTTCAGTCCTTACCGCCTAATCTCAATCTTTAGAAATATTCTTGAATGATATTTAGGAGAAATCAAAGTACTCTTAAAATGGATACTAATGAGGGTAGGGGGACAATGAATACTAAATAAGAGTGATGGGATTAATAAAATTTAAAGACCACATTTTCAAACTTATGAAAATGGTGCAAACCATTTGGAGAAGGCCTCTGTTTATAGAAAATAGTTATGGAAAATGAAATAATGCCTCCATTTTCACAAAATAAAAAAAGATTTCTAAAAGGAAGAGAAATACATATTTTTGCACAACCTTTGGCTTAATATTCATGAGGAAATTCATAATGTAAAGGTCCTTGTGCTTTGAACACTCTCATCTAAATGAAAATATTAATATCGCTGGGGCCGTGGCCCTATCTGATGAGCACAAATCTGAAAGCAGGCATGAATTACATTTTAAAGGCAAGGAGACTGGGAAATTCCCTGACTTGGTCCAGGGAGCAGAGCTCACAGGAAACCAAATTAGAACTTGCTGGAAGCAGCATGTGAGGCCCTACAAAGGTTTTGTCTAAATTGCTTCTAAATCATAGAAAGCTGATTCAGTTCAAAGTCTAGTATTTTCTCATCCAAACAGTACAACTTAATAAGTATGACTAGATCAATTTCTCCTTTATTTGAAAGCATTTTACATATTATATTAGTTCTACAAATATTCATTCTTTTTTTAAAAAATATATACTTTTATTGTTTCAGGAGCAAGGGAGAGAGAGAGAGAAACATCAGTAGTAAGAATCATTGATCGGCTGCCTCTTGCATGCCCCACACGTGGCAGATCAAGCCTGCAACCCAGTCATCTGCCACAACCAAGATAGAACTGTGAC